CAATAAATTTCATATATTAAAAAAAATAAAAAAATAAAAATAAACATGGGTTTAGGTCTAGTTTCTTAATTCTTTTCCAATCATCTATGTATCTGTTTTATGCAGTTCCATGCTGTTTTGATTACTGTAGCTTTACAATAAAGTTTGAAATCAATAATTTAAAAAAAATGTTATGAAAGCATAAGGAAAAGAATGTTTAATTTTAACTGAATAAATTTAGGATGACTGTATGGAAGAAATGTATTTTAACCTGGTTAGTACTTGAAGAAAGATGGGAAGGACTAGAGACACAGGTAGCTATAAGGGGAGGGGCATACTAGGCAGAGAACATGGGAATGGGTAGTAGATTGATGTATCTAGAATATAATTTGTAAAGGCTGCATAGGAAGAAGAGATTGGAAAGTTAGCTTGGACCCAGATTGCAGAAGACTTTCATGAAACATCTGATTTTATTTTGGAATTTATCTGGTATATAATGGGGAGCCTAAAAGCTTTTGAGGTACATTTCACGGAAAATTACAGAACCATTGGAAATGCAACATGGATTACAGAGGGGATAGTCCTAAAACAGACCAGTTAGATTGAAGGTATTGCTATAGTCCTGGTAGGAATGGAGTGGAACTGTCAGTGGGGAATATGTATCACTTTAATAGAATAGATAGGTTTTGGCAGTTGATTAGTTATGGGAGGGAGGAAGTGATAGCTGAGGTTTAGAGCATGAATAACTAACAGGAGAGTGGTACCATTGATGAAATTTTTCTCGAGTTTAACTCGATCTTCTAGGCTTATGAGATACTGCCATTTTTTTATTCTGATCATGACCCAACTGACTTAGGTGTCCACTAGTGGACATGACTAGTCTAGTTTCTAGAATGAATCATTGCAAAGTCTAGTTTCTTTGACATTGAATATAAAGGTTAAACCTAGTTCAGCTTCTCTTAGTAGCAAATTCACAGTGCTGTTTTTAATACAGTTGCCCAGATTTGCGGGGAATTTATTCTTTGTGATTTTTGTTAGCTCCAACTCTTGGGAGTAAAAAGTCCTTTAGGGTGTACCCTATTTTGTAGATAAACTTCACCAAATTGGTTCAGTCATATGTCAGAAGGTCCCTTCATGCTTTTTATTAAAGATTTGGTAGACTCAGCTATATTTACTTTGTTGCTGCTTTACTTGGTTTTATAGATTTTAAGCCACATTTCCACGTGCCTGGGTAGCTGCCCAGCATTCTGGAAATGCTGTTTTTCTCTCAATATTGCTAAATGGTTAATAAATATTTTTTGGAACAAGAATAATGGGTGGGGATTGAGAAAGTGTCTGTTTCTTGTCTTTTCCAGCTCACCAGGCATTGTTCTTACCACAGTTTCAGCATTACTAAATGTCTACCCTCAGTTGGGCACTTTGACAGCAAGTAGTGTGTGCAGTACACTAAGCCAAACTCTTACAGCAATTACGGCATTGAGCATAGCAAGTATGAATACAAATTTAGGGCAGAATGGAAAATGAAAGTGCTCTAGCAGGGGTTGTGTAGTTTCTTGAAAAAAGCTTGCAGTTTTTGTTTATAACTTTATTGTGTACATTGGGAGACAGAGCTTATGCAAAAGCAGTTCTCAAAGTGCATTTTAATCCTGGTTTTGTGAGCACTGAAGACACCTTAATGGGTTTCTGTACCAGGAAGGCTTCCAAAGAAGAGGGACTGCGGTTTCCCACGTACTCATTATTTAGATGTGTTCCCCTCCCTTTCCCTTACCAGATGTGCAGTATGTGAAGCTCCCTCCATGGTGATTGCAGTTCACAGTCAGACCATCCAGATTCCCCACTGTCCTCAGGGATGGGATTCTCTCTGGATTGGCTATTCCTTCATGATGGTATGAAATACTCTTTCTTGTCTTTGTCATCACAGCTGACTGTCCATCATATCTGTGTATCTTACCAATATGAGAAATCCCTGAGGTTTTCACAGTAAGCTTGAGCCTCAAATAGCTTCTGTACAAGTATTGTGTTCCCCTTCACATATTTTCTGGAACATATTTTCATAATCCGCCTGTTACTTTTGTTGAGTACCCTTGGTGTGGGTGCCATTCTCTTGCCTCTTGCCCAGTGCTCGCTTTGGCAGCACATATACTCTTACCTCTTGCCCTAATTCCTTCACTGGATTTGAATGTTTGGCCAAATTCAGCACATGTCTTTGAGTATATACTCAGGTATTATAGCACATGGGTATTGTGGGACATTTTCCCTTATCTTTCTAGCACACAAGCGCAGGAGCAGAGGGCTCAGGTCAAGCCCTGGCCTCCCCTGGTTCCTGCTTGGAAGAGTTCCGTTCAGCTCCTTTCATTGAATGTCACGGCCGGGGTACCTGCAATTACTATGCCAACTCCTACAGCTTTTGGCTAGCAACTGTAGATATGTCAGACATGTTCAGGTAAGTTACTTATGGCTTTAGTTTAGTTTAGGTCCTAAGCTTCCTTCAGAGATACTGGGGAAGAGAGAAGCAATTCATGGATGGTTTATACCCAACAAATGTTAAGGATTTAGTGGACTGTGTTTTTTATTTTCACTTGTTCTTTTCATACACCTGACTCAGGTCAGAAAAACAGACGTGGCTAATATTCAGTATGTGCGGTTTCAGATGGCTTGTTATTAATCCTTCAGTAACAAAATAGACAAAGCAAGGAAAGGCCATGTGATCTGCTGAATAACTGAGCTGCTCAAACTCTAGTGAGGCCACCCCAGGAATTGAAGCTGTAATATGATCCCTGCCCCAGTCCAGTGATCTCTTTTCCCAGGATGTTTTCAAGGCTCTCATCCCAGTGTTTGAATAAGACCACATATGGTATATTTGCTTCAGGATAGTTCAATCTATTGGATGTTTTTCAGTTTAAATTAATTTTTATATATTACTTCATTTGAGTTATCATTACTTGATATTTTTCTTACAATTATCGTTATGCATTTCATATGCATTATTGTTTTATCATTTATTTACCATCAGTTGCCCAGATCTCCCTCATTCTATGACTATTAGAGAAACGTATAAGAGAAGAAGAGGGTGAGACAAATAAAGATAATTAGTGGTAGACAGTAGAGTCACATTGCTCAGAAGTTAATCATTGAGTCAGAAGGAGAGCTACTTAAGCACAAATAGAATGTCTGAGTGTGAATTTGAACCAGTAATAGAAGTGAAATATCTGGAAAGGCTAATTTGATTATCTTGTTTCTTGTTTTCCAGCAAACCTCAGTCAGAAACGCTGAAAGCAGGAGACTTGAGGACACGAATTAGCCGATGTCAAGTGTGCATGAAGAGGACATAACATTTTGCAGAATTCCTTGTGTGTTTTTAAATGTGATATATATATGTGTATATATATATATATATATATATATATA